CATCACACCATACCGATTCTTCAAATGTATTACCAATAGAAAAATTAACTAGGCATTTAGAAGAAACTCTTACCTCATTTCCTTTGTTGAACCACAGAATACGATATGGTCGGGGGTGTTGAACAATCTTGAGCTGTAATTTATCCACCATCTCTTGAGAAACAAGATTCTCACTACTCCCACTGTCAATAATCAGGTTACACAACTTCCCACCCGCTGTACAACGTGTTCTAAAGATATTCTTTCTCAACCAGTCCCCCGGTAGTGGTTCTTGAGGTGCAACCATAGAGTGTCGTATCACTAGAGCTTCACCCTCAATATCCCCATCCAAGTTTTCTTCCTCTAAAGCATTAGCTTCAGTAGTTTCAGCCACTTGCTCATCCTTAACATGGCCCATATCACCTTGTTGTTCATCAGTGACTTCATCAACCAAATGTGTTTGCCCTTCAATCCTTCTCTTAGGGCATTCATTTGAACGATGTCCCAACTCCATACACCTGAAACATCTAATAGTAGGCTGCCCTTGACTGCTCTTTGTCGCATTTGAAGTCCCTTGGACTGTAGGTCGTGTTTGGTTGATCACACGACCCCTACCAGCCCCAACACTTCGACCTATTGATGAAGCTTGGAGAGCACTTAGCCTCTGCCCTAAGCTCCGACTCGGTTGAGCTTCAACCTTTAGAGCTAGCTGATATGCATCCTTTACCTTATACGGGCAATGTAGGCTGACTTGATCTTGTTTTGGCAACCTCAAACCATTGATATATCTACTAACTTTTTGTTGTTCAGTTTCTGACATATTACTCTGAAGAGTTAATCTATTAAACTCTTTTGTGTACTCCTTCACACTCTTTTCCCATTGCCTTAAATTCTGCACCCTTTGGTAAAGAGTTTGCTCATAGTCTAGTGGTAAAAATTGGGCTTTGAGCTTCCCTTTCATTCTTCCCCAAGAACTAACCTTTCTTTTCCCCATCCTTTCTCTGTCCCTTTGGTAATTTTTCCACCAATCTAAGGCTGTCCCACGCATCTTGGCAGTCACAAGCTTCACTTTTCTTTCTTCATTCATTTCTTTCCAATCAAAATAATTTTCAATATTGTCCAACCAGTCTAGAAGCTCTTTAGGTTCCAATTCACCATCAAACTTGGAAATATGAAGTTGAACACCATGACCTTGATTGGATTGTAAAACTTGCACTATTTGGTCTTCCCACCGCTGGTTGTTATTCCTTCCATGCTGATCACCTTCAGGTTGCTCAATGTCTTCACTTGATTCTTCACTAATAATGTCAGTGAGTTGATCATCAACTCTAGGAGCTTGTCTTCTTCTTCTTAGCCCCAAATCATTCGCTACGTCACCATACCTAGCAGCATTTTGAGCTACAAGTTGAGCAAGATGTTTAATCTGTTCTTGCACTCCTCTTATAGCCTCTTGGAAAACCTCTACAGTGACATGTTGTAGTCTTCTACCACCCCTTGCAGCCATGATAATATAGAAAACACAAGAAGGAGATGAACTTTGAAACAAAGCCAAGGAAAGAACTTCCTCTGATACCACTTAATGTGGACAGAAGGACAAGTTACATGTAGTACCTCAAGTATACAGCAATAAGCACAAGAAATACCAAGCTGAAAACAACAAAATAAGTTGGAATTTTAGGGATTTCAGACCTGAACCTAAAGTAAAACTCCTCATGGAACAGTTCCGCTACAGTAACAATGGCAGCATGCTGGCCTCCCGTGCGAACACGCAGCGATGGAGGGATTGGAAGGTGCCAAAATGGGTCGACTCCTCAAAACCCAAGCTCCCAATGCTTGAAAACCCTAGCTGGGGCTGAGCTACAGCTCAAACAAGAGAGAAAGAACCAAAAAGACCCCTACAGAAACAGCCCCCTTCTCTTTTATAAGACTCACTGGCTTGTTGGACAAGCTAGTTAAAATATTTACACATAAGCCCCCAGAATGTTTCCCTCTCACCAACAACTCCTAAAGAATAAAACTAACTTCAAATGAACCCCTAAAAGATAACTTTTGTTACAAAAAGATCCAAGAGACCAAAACCCAACAGAAATGCACCCAACTGCCCCTGACCAAAAATCTGGCTTATAAAATGACGAAAATACCCCTGGTCCCAAACTATCAACAAAGCTACCCAAAAACAACAATTTGGGATCCTACTACAAGAATGCAAAACAGAATACATACACACATTTCTTTTTTTTTTCTTGCCTCATCACACCAAATTTCAGCCAAATCAAACAAGGTTTGACTGGCCAACCAGTCCTTTCTTGGTCTGCAGTGCATTCTGAAAGTTGCCATCTGATGTCTTGCCTTCCATTTCTTTCTTTGCTTCCATGTTTGCATCACCTTCATTTCACCTAGAATCACTTAGTTACTTTGACAACTATGGGGTGAGGAATGTAGCAATGGTAGCTACACCCCAAAGATCCAGGCCCCAGGATAAACAAACAAACAGATCCGCTTTGCTAGCTGCTCTTATGTGTGTTGCTTGTTTGGAAATGTTTGCTTAGTCAGGTTTCTCTATCTTTGATTGGCTACTCAGGAGCATTGAATTGAAGTTTTCCTTTCACATCTGCAGTATGCAGAAAAGCTTTTTGTTCGCAAGGCCACAAATGATCTAGATCTCCTTTCAGTGGCCCAGCAAATGTGGGACAGTGTCCGTACCAATGACAAAAAAGCAGTATATCATTACATTGTTAACTCTGAGACAGATGTCAATGCTGTGCATGGGCAAACATCTTTTAGCACATCTTTGACTCAGGAAAAAACAATGTTGTTGCAAGAGCAGTCAAATCTTGAGTGCAACTCTAGCTGCTTAGAGGAGGATTCTTTGGACAAGGACTTTACAGAGAGCTCTATGAAATCAGTAGATGCAAGCCAGGACAGGAATGTAGAAGAGTGTTTTGATGGTTGTTCCTTGCTTCACCTTGCTTGTCAAACTGCAGACATAGGCATGATAGAGCTCCTCTTCCAGTATGGGGCAAACATAAATGCTCCAGATTCAAGAGGCCAGACACCACTTCATCATTGTATTCTTGGAGGCAGAAATGCAATTGCAAAGTTGCTTCTTTCAAGGTGATTCTTATTATCTTTACCCCTATTGCTCTGTTTTTTTTTTTTTTCTTCATGGTGATTTACTTCATCTCTGTGGGTTATATTCTCCTAATATTTAAAAGCAATCTTTCTTTTTCATTTGTTTGTTTCACATCATAAATATCTTAGAATTCTCAACAAGTATTATAGGCTTTTGTGATATTACTAGCAATTTCGTCTGATCTTTATTTAGAGCTTACTAGAGTCATCATGTCCCAATCTTGTTCTTCTGTCACCGCACTATGTAAGACTAGGCTAATTTTTTGTCACTCTGGGTTTGTGTTGATTATTGCCTATTGCTCTACTTTTATTGCTTAAAATTACAGTATGGATGATGTGAACATTCTTGTTATTGCTGTCACCATTACCATAGAGGTATTTTCTATCATTAATATGGAGGTAAAACATGGCTCTTGATAGAACATAATGGCAGGACAGGACTCGTTTAGCTAAAACCAAATAGTTGAATTTGGCATTAATGCTGATTTGAGTTGAGATGGGCATTATTAATATTGGAGGTACTTTCATAGCTCTTGATAGAACATAGCATTCTTCCTTTGTAATCTGTCTCTTTATTTTGACATGTTCAAATCATGAAGCCTAGTCAACAATCAAAAAAAATTATGAATCCTCAAATCATTGCTCACTTGCCTTTTAATATTGATCAAAAAAAATCCACTTGTCTTTCAAATCCAAAGACCTGATTGGATGTTGATATAATGCCTTTTCAACTAGAGCTGAGTAATCCTTGCATCAAAGAGTGAATTTTGATAATGTACAGCGGAGTCCTTGGGAAGCTAAATATGGTAGGTGCATTTAGATAAAATAGTAGCATTAAGCATATAACAGCAGGCAAAAGATTAAGATGTATGATCACGTTGATGGATGTATTTCAGTTAACATTCCTTTTACTGATGTGGTCATGTGAATAGGATTAGCCTTCTAATAAAAACTTACATTATGCTGTTGATTTGCATTAACAACCTGTTCATTTAGCTCAGAATAGATATGTTGAGAATTTGTTTTTCCCTGAGATTCAAGAGTAATAACATGGCATTCTGTAGTAGACCAATAGATTTATTTATTGGTATGTCGAGCTAGATCTTTATGTTTTTTTATTTAATGATTTTTGGGGAGGAGGGAGGAGCCTTTGGTAATAACCTTTGGTTTTTGGGGAGTGGTGCTTGAAAGAATAAACATTTTAGAGGAAGTTTTTGAGCTTATGGGTGCAAGATCCCTATATGCACATGACATGGTATGACTACACAATTTTGAAACGGTTCAATTCATGAAGATCGTAATTGTTTGAACTAACAATCGGCATAAGCACTCCATGACTTGAAAAAATCCATTTATAAACATCTAGCAGAAAGTGGAATTTTTTTGCACTCTTGGTCATTCATAGTTTGTTGAATTTTGTAACTTACAGCTATTAATGACATTATAGGGCTTCAGCCTATCAGGATGTGTTTTTCGGTCCCCTTATTTCTTAAGCATTCATTCTCTATTGTATGAAAAATCTGCTCAATGGTTCCTGGACTGGTTGCAGGGGAGCTGACCCTAAGGCTGTAGACGGAGAAGGCAATACCCCTCTTGATGCAGCAGAATCAACCTTCAATGATGAAGTACTGTCTCTATTCACTGATGCTTGACAGATGACATTGTTAGGGAGATGATTATTAGACAGTAGTGCAAAAAAGACGGATATCCAAGGGTTTGGGTTCTCTTTGATAATTATATTTCAAAAAATTGGTATCTGATACCCATTGGAGGAAGCTGTCAGAAGTGATCTTGGGAATTGAAGGACCAGGCAGGTTGGCATGCCTGCTTGTTGGGGCCCCTGAATAGTAGACCCATGACTGTAACTTGTAGCGGCCTTGTTCTCCCAGAATCTGAGAGCTTCTGCAGGCTTTCTAGCTTCAACTTTTGTAATGTAATATGTATCTTTTCTTATTTATCAAGTCCACACCCCTCGTTTATATCTTTTATTTTCTTTTGGTTTCTTTTCTGGTGGTTGTTAAGTGGGGGGTGGTGTTGGGGGGTTGTAGCTTCAGGTATTATGGTTGTACATTTGTTTGTCTGGTTGCTCAGTGTGAAAAGATTTCTTTGGCGGAAATTCTTCCTAGTGATCTAAAAATGTGAAGAAAACGGAAAAAGAGATATGGAAATTGCTATTTTCCAAAATGGGAACATTCATGTTGCTCAATAATGTCAAGGGTTATTATCTAAAGCCTCTCTTTAGTCTTTACTTCTCTCCAATTGAAACATATCCCTACCGGAAGAGCTTGATACTTACAGGCGAAATTTTATGCTGCCAAAAAGACACATGATACCGGAGAACTTTGACACAATATTTTAAAAACTGATCCTGTGATCCGGAAACAGAACTGCTTTTTCTTCTGGGTCCTGCCGTCCTGTGTCAGTGGTTCAACCGTCTGGGTTGAGCAGGTCAAGTCCAGATATTATCTAAAACTCAATGACTTTTTTTTTATTTCTCTTAAACTGACCATAACTTTTTCAAGCCTTCAAAGTAACCCATGTCAGAGATCTGCTATTACGACATGAATGATTTTTATAAATTTATTAAATTAACCCTCCATCCGAAGTCTGAACCACAATCTAAACTTAAAATATCGTTGATCTAAAAGAACAAAAGTGGCATGCAAAATAGTTTTAAAAATGAAATGTGCAATTAAAATAATTGAAACTTCTTATCATAAAACCTCTACTAATCTCTAAAACTTGAAATGAAAATTGAAGAATCTGAAGGAATTAAGAAAGAGAAGATTTTGAGCTTCAAATTATGTTGCTTCAAAATGCAAATATGATTTCTTTCGTTTTCATAACTTTTAAAAGCAAATCATAATGAAGACGACTAGGAGCACTCAGATAAAAACTCCCAATTTTAGCAAATTTTCAACAACTGAACAAAGAGACTCGGTAGTCCAATATTCAAAATCTATCGAGAAAACTGAAAAATGCCTGGTTTCAAATTTTGAATAGAACACAGGTTGAAATAACCATATTTCAAGCTTTTAGAACTTGTACGGAAAGATACTCTCTAGTTTGAAACTTGAGGTGCTGGAAGAAGCGATAAATGAAATAGCAGAAGCTGCAGAACATAAACGCTTATCAGTAGCTTTCGGACCACTTCCAGATTTCTTTTATGAACTGCGAGAAACAAAGGCATCACATACGTCTTAAACTCCTCATACTCGATCCAAACTTCATTTGTGGATTCATCATGTATTCATGTAGCAGGACCTTTGTCTTCATCGACTTGAGGCAAACAACACTGCTGAAGTTCCCGTCGACACAGGGATTGACGATGCTATCCTTAAATCAAATATCCGATGGGCGAGGCCTTATTTTCCTGCAAGGAAATTGCCCGTGAGTGACTGAAGACCATAATTTATGGGACGGACTGACAGGTTTTCCGACTGTTTTGTTTGAATTTTGAGGCACTGAAAGTCGAGAAAGAACTCCCATGGGTTCCAAGCCTCTACTACCTTGGGTTATTCTCTCTATTTTTTATGTCTCGGCGTTCTTCAGGCTATTAAGAGAGTGAGAAGCCTTGAAGACTGCGAGTCAGGTGGTAGGGGAGGTTGAACGGATCGCTGGACTGGTTGCTCTCCTCTCTCGTTCCATGGAGAAGACTCAAATGCATTCATTCGGCGACAGTTTTGTTAAATAACTAAATACCTTTACTGTTTCATCTTTACTGTTTCTGACAATTGAGCATCTGTTAATATTCCGTTGAAACTCGTCCATAAGTGAAGTATAATTTTTTTAAAATCCAATTTTACCCTTACAATTTTCTTCCGTGACAAATCGAGTTGGCTTGGTCTTTAACCAACGGCGGCGATAGCACTCACCGAGGGAGCGTGTTTAGTTGGGTCTTGGGTTAAAGGAGAAATTGGCTTGAGAATTTACTATTACGATGAACTAGTTGAGGAGCAGAAAGAGGGAGCGTCGCCACTAACGAGGAGGCTCCGCCCCCCAACGGAAGCACAGAAGTTGCCTGAGGAGGAGAAGGTTCTGCCGGAGTTGCTTTCTCTTGGGTAATTAGCTCTACCGCTTCCAATACAACCTCATGCGAATTTATTTGCTCTCCAGGATCCGAGCAGGAACTTGCAGCCATGCTAAATCCAGCCCTCTTGATGTGATTGTGCACCGCGCCAAGTACCTCCTAGAGCGTAATGGGTTCGGAAACTATCATAACAATTGCGAGAACCTTGCGATCTACTGCTCCACCGGCTTGATCGCGCAGAAGCCTTGTGAGATCGGACAAGTTGGGTTCTTGAAATGCTTTCTTGGGAAGCTTCATAAAAGTGGGAATCTGAAGGCCTTACGCGACTTTCTCCGAAACAACTGTTTCTAGAACCGACGAGTGGAGTCCACTGTTATTTTGTTCCGGAGATTTTCGGCAAGGGCAAACTTTCGGATGCCATTAGAGCGAAAATTGGGAGTATCGTTGCATATCTTCTGAAGCTCTTTAGTGGGAGTGACAGCAACATGAGCGTTTCTCTTCCTAATGCTCCTGCTCTGCCTATCAAGATTTTTCTTAATCTTCTTGATGTGTGTTTTGTCTTATTTGTCGCTCTCTCCCAATCAGATATTGAAATTCACGAGGATGTTGACAACACTTGCCGACTCCTTCACAGCTGGACTTGTGACATGTTGTGCATGGGTTTTGATGAACATTGGAGTCACCCCAGGAGGAGCTGGAGAAATACGAGGGATTTCCTCATGATAGAAGTGAATGACTTGTTCGTCCCCGATGTATATCCCTAGAGGAAAGCTTGGAGAATAAACCCATCGTCATTTTCTTTCGGTAGAAACATTAAAACGAGAGAGAGAGAGAGAGAGAGAGGAGCCGGTTAAAGATCGAGGTAGTTTAGTTTGTCGCTGCTGAAAAGAAGAAAACGGTAAGAGTAAAATTGGGTTTTTTTTTAATTGTTAGAAACAGATAGAATGTGAGTTTTGTTTGATAGAAGATAACTGAAATACACACTAAAAATTTGCAAAAAAAATTGCAAAGAAAGTGAGAAGAATTGGTAGATGAGACAAAAATAAAAGAACCTTGGATTAAATTTTCTTGAATCATGAAAATTGAGAAGTAAAAACCCCCTGTCTTTCATGTTTTGATTTTCGAGCATAGTTAAATGAGACCAAAGAAAGTGAAACCGTTTGTCATTCTCTCTCTCTCTCCAAGTTCTTGACAGAAAAAAATGAAAGAAAGGAGGAAGGAGGAGAAGAAGAATGAAATCTTCACTATCTTTTTTTCCATCTACTACTCTAGGTGAAATTTTAAATGCTTGGATATCGAAATCCCTTTGTTTGTTCAATCATACCTGAGTTATTGTGAAGAGAAAAATGACGAAATAAATGTAAGAGAAAAAGAAAAAAGAAGAAATGGAGGAGAGAAATCAGGGAGTTTGGTGGCTACTATCTTGGTATAAATTAAAAAGAAACAAAGAACAATGTTAAGGTTCCTTATTAACATCAACTTGCGAACTATTACCCAAGTAACACTCAACAGTTCATCCAAATCAGCGGTTCTATGACCAAATCAACATTTTCTTATAAAATAGCAGCTTATCCTTTTAGGTAGTGTTTGGAATGAGTGTCGTTTCTTGAGAGGTGTTTTTGAGAAAACAATGCTGCATTGGCATGTCTTTTTCTCAAAAAAACATTTTTTTCTTTTTTTTTCTATTTGGTACCATTAGTGTTGCTGCCATATAGGCTTTTTTTTTTCATTTCCATTGTCAATATATTGTTGCTAGCAATAGTAAAAAAACAAGAAAACACGAAAAAGGGCACTTTCTCATACCACACCTTTTCCGATTTCCAAGGCATGGTTTGAGAAAATGTTTTTTGGAAAAAAAAAAAAAAACACAAACAAGAAAACACCAAAATGGATTTCAGACATGACACTGATGTGATGCCATTTTTTGAAAACATCGGTTTCAAGCACCCTCTTAATGGAACCAAGAACATGGTTGGTTTTTCATCTACTCTGAGTGAAACCTTCAATGCTTGGAAACTAAAATCCTTGTGTTGTTCAACCATACCTGAGTTCTTGTTAAGAGAAAAAGGATGAAATAAATGTAGGAGAAAAAGAAAAAGAAGAAATGGTGGAGAGTTTGAGCTACAAAAAATATTGAGAATAATGGAAAGGAGAATGTGAGAAGAATCGACTTCAATGTATTTTAGATCACTGAAGTTCTAGGTATTTATAGATTTTTTTGTAGAGTTTGATTTACATAGGGTCTCATACAAGATAAACAACAGGAGTCCTAGATAGAGTACAATTAAGAGGGATCATGTTGATCCTAATTTACAATTGATAACATCATTCTTATCCTTATCTATCTTAGAATCCAGGCTAGATCTGAACCAGATATGGTTATCTCCAATATGTCCCCTCAAGCTGAACGATAGGATGTGAAGCTTGGACCGTAGAAGACTAAATTGTGGTGTGGCTAGAGGCTTTGTGAAGATATCGGCAACTTGATCTTCAGAACAGATGTACCGAATTGATAACTTGCTAGCCACATAGAGTTCTCAGAGGAAATGGAAATCTACTTCAACATGCTTGGTGCGGGCATGAAATACCGGATGTGCAGCAAGATATGTAGCACCAAGGTTGTCACACCATACTGCTGGCTTCAAGATAGGGAAGCCTAAATCGGTCAAAAGAGACTGGATCCATAAGACCCAGTGACTGTGTTAGCAAGAGACCGGAACTCGGACTCCATACTGAAGCGAGCCACAATGTGTTGCTTTTTGGAGCTCCAACTGATGAGATGGTGACCTAAATAAACTGCAAAACTTCTCGCAGACCAGCGGTCATCTGGATAACTGACCCAATAAGCATCTGTGAAGGCATTCAGATGTAGAGAAGTGGATGATGAAGAAAAATGAAGATTGTGATCAAGAGTGCCCTTAAGGTAACGCAAAATGCGCTTGATAGCATAAATTGCACATGCCATAGCAAGTAGTTATCACTGTCGAGCTTAATGGGTAGATAATGTGTCACACTCTGAAGAGGAGGAATCGAGGGCATCGATCCTAGATTGTTCGAACTAGTATCAACATTGGTTCGGCTGCCATTGCTTCCATAAGAACCTTCCTACTCCATCAGCTCTGATACCAAGTTTGAGCTACAAAAAATATTGAGAATAATGGAAAATGAGAATGTGAGAAGAATGGACTTTAGTGTATTTTAGATCACTAAAGTTCTAGGTATTTATAGATTTCTCTATAGAATTTGATTTACATAGGGTTTCATACAAGATAAATAATAGGAGTCCTAGATAGAGTACAATTAGAAGGGATCATGCTGATCCTAATTTACAATTGATAAGATCATTCTTATCATTATCTATCTTAGAGTCCAGGCTAGATCTGGATCGGATATGGTTATCTCCAATAGAGAGAAATGGAGAAGGGTAGCTGGTTGGACTTCAAAGAAAACAGTTGACGCAAACATCATGAAAATGAGGTCAAAGATAGATTAGGAAGAAAACGCAAAAGAATAAATTAATAAAACTCTATGTTGTGTTGAATTCAAAATCGTTCAAGCTCAGAATTTAAACTAAAATTATCTACCTCTTTATTTTATTTTTACTTATTCAGACTTTTAGACGTTTGGCATAGAATAGAGAATTAGCAAGTAAGACCGACCAGGAAAAACTTGTGTGGAGATTTTTGATAGAATCAGAATCTCTGTGGGTTCGAGTTTTACAAAGTAAATATCGTCAGAATAAAACAATGATACCAAGGAAAGTCTCAAGATCTTCTTCCCCTTGTGAAAAACTTTGGTGAATAAAATGTCATCTATTTTTCCTAGTTTAGGGGTTCAGGTTTATGGCCAATTGGCCATTCAAATGTGAGTGCTTGGGATTTCCCATGGATTCAGGAAAAAGATCGCTTTCATGTTCCAATTGGGCCACCTGTAAAAGAGTTTAAAGATTTGGCCATTAAGGGCTTAAGGCTGCTTTTTTTTAGTGTAAATGCAAAACTACATCGATGAAATATAACAATTGAACCGGCATTATACTCATTTTACACTCTTATGTGTTTGGATGATCGATGTAAACAAAGTGTCATGTTTTTGTATGCGTTTGGAGAATATTCATCAAATGCAAATCTCCACCCTCCCCAACCCAACTCTCCTCTAAAGACGAAATGATTCTCAGAACTCAGAGTTTGAACTCTGAAGTCGAAAGCATTTCCTCCTCTCTTGGGTTAGAAAAAAGAGGGGAAAGTTGAGTTCCAACACATTTTGATTGTCAGCGTTGAAGCTTTGACCGGCAAACCTGAGCTCTACAGCAGTTTCAAAAAATGCTCTCCATGTGTAAATTTTTAAAAGCTGTTGACATTTGTTGGGTCCCATTTCTCTACACTCGGCTCGGCTTTTGATACTTGTCTTGTTTCTCTGGAGATGATTATTGGGAAAAACAAAACTAAGAAACAGACATCTCCACAAAGTTAAGCTCTCACAAAGCCTCTAGTTCTTTTGCAAATACTACATCTGATGTTGGTTCTCTCATCTCTGTGATAAAGAAATCAAAGCCACAGACCTGAAAATCAAGAACAAAGAAATCATTAGAAGAAAGCAAAGAACAAAGCCTATAGTTTTTTTATTAGATATTCTTTGTTGGTGGGATCATGGGTTTCCTAGAAGAAATCACAGACGCTTCGTGCGCCCCTCACAGACCTCAAAAGATTTTCAGTCTTCCTTTTCCCTGATAATCACCTCTCAACCAGGTGCAGGATAAAGAAAATGGAACCAGATGCACGATGGATAAGATGGAGAAGAGAGTCATTCACGAAGAGAGATAGAGAGAAAGCGAGACACTGACGGAGAGCCATTCCACAACTACTGAAATTATCTATAATTTTGACTAATAATAACCTCAATAATTTTGAAATTATCAATAATTTCAAAATTATCAAATTATTAAATAACAAAATCATTGTAATTACTCAAATTTCCATAATTATCAAATTTCTAACATAACAAATCATCAAATAAAAAATAATTTTAACAAAAGTTATTTTAAAAATCACTGTTATTATTTTTGAATTATCAATAATTTCCAATAAAGTTGAAATTATCAATAATTTCTATGGGATAATTATAATTGTTATTATTATGTAACTATCATTTTCGAAATTATTGTAATTACTATTATTATTTAATAACAATTATTATTATTCAATAATTATCATTATTATTATGAAATTATTGAATAAAAAATAGTTATCAATAATTGTTTTGAATAACAAAATTTAAATAATTTTTCATAATTTCTAATAAGAAAATTAATGAAAATTATTTTAAATAATGGTAATTATTGGAATTGGCATAATTATAAATTATCAAATTATTGGATAACAAAATAATGGTTTTCTTATGGCATTTTTTAGGGTGTTAGTAAGGATTTTGAATTTCTTAACAAATTCTGTGAATTTTTGTACTATTTTAAGAGGATAGGAGGGTGGTGTTTTGTTTAGAACATGAGTATCACGACTGAGGGTTATGATATGTTGATTCATAGATAGATTTCAAGTTGTCAATGTAGGCATGGCAGAACAAAAAAGATGCTCTAGCAATTCTTTAATTTCAAACCAATTTAGTTTAAAGGTCCTAAGAATAAGTGCTTAGTTGATGATTTGGGTCGCAATGGAACTACTGAAACCAGTCAAGTTGATCGTTCGAGAATGAAAAAATGAGAAAAAAAAGAGGGGAAACCTTACCTAGTTAATTGGTTGAGTTGCAATTCTACCATTGGTTGGAGAAGAAAGTGTCGAAGAGCCTAACCCTATGTTTTTGGACGATTGAAAGGCATAAGTGGCATTTTGAAATCTAACTGGAGACAATTTTGTAATCAAAATTTTGAATAAGTGCTTATTGTATAAGCACTTTAAAAAAATTGAAATTTTAGGCTACT